GCCTCCTTTTCCCTCGCCTCGTCTGTCTGTCCTTCCCCCCAGGTAGGCCGCGGCCGCCGTGAACGGCTCCCCCGGAGGGGGAAGGGGGGAGTAGAGCGCAGTCTCGGGAGTACCCCCCCGGCCTGCGAGGGGCGATGGGGGTATGTGACGAGTGGGAACGGAGCGAGGCCGGTGGAGTAATTGATAATGAGGGACGGAGGAGCTCCGGAAGGATAAAAGGAGGAGCTACGAGAGTGAAAGACGAGAGAGGAGCAGGCCTGGATTTTGTTTTGTGTTTTGGTTTTGTTTGTGCGTGAGAGTCGTCCGCGAGGGGCTGTCGCGCTATTTTGGGTTTATTTTATTAAAGTTTTCTTTGAGCTTTCCCGCCTCCTTCTTCCCGAACTACGAACTTTGTTACAGATAGTTCACCCAAAAATGAAAATTTGATGTTTATCTGCTTACCCCCAGGGCATCCAAGATGTAGGTGACTTTGTTTCTTCAGTAGAAAACAAACAAAGATTTTGAGCACAAACCGTTGCAGTCTGTCAGTCTTATAATGGAGGTGAAGGGGAATCACGGCTTTGAGAGTAAAAGAAAACATACACGAACAAAACCAAATTAAACCCTGCGGCTCGTGACGATACATTTATGTGTAAAGACACAAAACGATCGGTCTGTGCAAGAAACTGCACCGTATTTATATAATTTTTTTTACCTCTGATTCACGCAATGTCCGAACTGTCCTGAGCGGCGGCGCGTCCTCCTGAGTGCGTCCTCGACAGCCGGCGCGTGACGCGTCTTCTTCTTCTTCTTCGTCCAATGGTCTCTCAATGGTCCACTTGAGAGATAGGTGGTGGTAGTGCACTTATAAGTCTGCGTAAAGCAAGAAGAAGAAGATGCCGTTTTGTGTATGTTTTTTTTTTTTTTTTTTTACTCTCAAAGCCGTGATTCCCATTCACCTCCGTTATAGGACTGACAGACTGCAACAGTTTGTGTTCAAAATCTTCGTTTGTTTTCTACTGAAGAAACAAAGTCACCTACATCTTGGATGCCCTGGGGGTAAGCAGATAAACATCAAATTCTCATTTTTGGGTGAACTATCCCTTTAAGAAATTTTAGGAGAAACATCTGACATAATACATCCGAGTTTTCAGCAAACAGGGTAGCACCTTTTCCACTTTTACTGTACATACTATGTACAAACTATTGTAACATCTAGGTACCTACAAGTAACCGTAACCCATGTAGTTACCTTCTGTTTCTCAGTACTTTCATGGGTCAGATGCAGCAACCGCAAACAGTTTTGGTAAACTATACAAAAGGAGCTACAAACATAGTGTTGAGCGCTGACATTTCTTATATTTACTATACACCGTGTACAACTGTATTGTAAAATCACATAAATTAATGATCAATTTATCATATGTACGGTAAGCTATTCCCATGTTTGTATGCTAATTGGCATCCGGTATTTTAACTTTTCACGTACCATGAAACCCATTTTTAGTGGCACAGCATTACTGACTTAGCTATTCTGTCAGATGATTTGTTGTTATATGTGTGTGATTATGAGTATGACTCTGTAGATAATAT